GTTTATGTTTATTTCTTGAGAGGGGGAGGCGGGGGGGAAGGGGGGAAGAAGGGAAAAGGGAGAAAGGGGTATGTATCTTAGTCTTGGTTCTTGAGGTTGGGGTTGGAAATGTGATGATGGAAGTGATGATAGATAGTACAGAACGAAATCTTTTCGCCATCCTCATCCAGAATAGCTACAATAAAATATATATCAGAGGGGTATAAGCTATATATTCCCTTCTAAACCCCAGACTTGAAAATGATGCATGTGAGAGCGAGTGTGAGTGTGAATATGGGTGTGAGTGTGAGTGCTATAAAACCATTATTACCTACCGTACTGGAAAGAAGATATTGAGATGAGGATGAGGGGTGATACCTTTCGCGAAAAACTACTTACTTGTAAGTTGTGTTGCTGGACTGGACTGGACTGGACTCGCTGTGTCTTGTGCGTGTTCTGGTTTTTTTGGTGTTGGGTTGTAGGGTGTTGGGTTTGATGGCTTGTAATAGTATAGTACGATGTGTGGATTCATGGGATGGGGATTTGAATCTTGGATATGGGGCTTTGTTGTTATTATTACGAGCAGTTGGTGGTAGGAGCATTGTCATTATCATTGTCGTTGTAATTGTGTATTAATGAGTATCATATTTTTGACCATTTGGGTTCTTCATTACCTAGTGTTATTGTACTGTTCTCCATCTACTTGAGTTCATGGAATATGTGGGTTATATATAGATCCTCTCGAGTTGGGATGGTGAAATTTGTATTGTGATTGTTGTATACATACCTAGGTATATATCGTGGAAGGAATCGGCAGTTCATATACCTATCCAATCCCTTCAAAGAATCTCATGGGTTGTTGTTTTTCGCACACAAGAGAGAGGGATTGAGCGAGTGCGGACGAGACGAAATAGTTTAAATTGAGTATGTAGAATAGTATTGGAACTTGGAAATAGCTAGCTTGCTAATTTTAGATTGATGGATCTTGTGGTTTTCACTTGATACTGGCCGCGAGCTGGTTATAAAAATGTCTTGTTTTGGGTTTGAGATAGATGTAAAGCGTTTCTCACGGAATGCACAAGCTTTCGCATGCAAGTGTCTGTATTGTAATAGCTGTGAGGATGTGCGGAAGGTGGGCTGAGAGAGTGTTGCTTGGTCAGGTATTGTACGGAGTTGACAGAGATTAGTTGAGCCCTTTATTGTTATTGCTTTGTATGCATAACGAATGTATTTCTTATTGTTATTGGTTTCCGCGTGTTTGCATTGTCAATGTCTATTGCACCTCCTTTTCATACTATTTATGTACTCTCGCACGAGTTCACAACTCAGTGTTTGTACTAGAATTCTAGATTCGTGAGTCTGTGTATATCATACCAAACACCATGTGCTCGTGCATTTGATCAGGTACTAACTATAAGAATATGATCGGAGCTTTAGCATTGGAAGGGAGAATATGTATCCATACCAAGAAGACAATTTTTGGTTGCCGGAAGACGGCAATGTGCTTCTGAAGTTCTGAGTATGGTGTTCACTCCGGTACTGATTTTTAGATGGTGAATCAAGATTCGAGAATTTGATGCGACAGCGTGTGTTGGGAAGTTGGAGGCTGGAGTGCTGGTATAAATTCAGACATGAATGGATGGGAGTGAAAGAGCTGTAGTTTTGAACGAAAATAATGGAAGAGTAGTCATTCTCTGGACACTTAATGTTATCTACAGAACTTATATTCTCTCCTTGGATTTGGAAAATCTCGACGTCTTAACTTCAGCTTTCTTAACCAAGTTGGCATTGAATATTCTAACTTCTCAAGCCTATTCTGCTGTCAGCGAGGTTCATTCTACTATCATTGAATTACGCACAGCTATAGATTTTCGGACTTGATAGATTATGATTGATAGTATAGAAAGTAGTTAATCTAGATTAAGATGAAGAAAGACTCAAGTAACGATTTGAATCATGAAAACCGTTGTTGTACAGGTTCACTTGCCTATGTTGAAGTGTTTTTGAGAAGGTAGAGAAAGGAAGTATTTATAGAGGACTTATCATCATTTAGAGATGGGAATCATATTAGTTTGTCTGTATAGTGAATCGCATACGTAAGCTGCTTACACGTAGTTTTTGCCCTTGTCTTTCTCGGTTCACCATACTATCCAGCTCACGGAATTGTATATTGACATATAAAAGAACTTTGAAAGACGAATTGAAAAGATAAAAGTGAAAGGTTTATTCCAGTGCTCTCATTTAGGGGGAATGGGGAGCGCATTCTGAGCTGCCATACTTGGTTGCTTAGGCCTGAGAACAGGTACGTCTACGTGAGGGATTGGAGTACTTCTTCATAAGCCGCATCCGGGAGGACTTAATGTTGATGGATTTGAGTATTGTTGGTTCTGTGGTTGATCATGATAAATAATTGTTAATGTTTTTACAATTGATCGGTTGCTATTATCAGCTAATAGAGTCTCCTTATGTATCTCGGTTAATGGCAACAATACAATAATACCGTCAGTTAGTACACTGTTTGAATCATATATTTACCGCTTTTATTTTTCTATGTTTTAATTTACGCACACGATAACCATGCCAATAGCTCGTTACCATTGAGACCAGTTAGAGTAGAAACGATTTGTCTTGTCAACATCTGGGGATAAGAAGAACCGAAATTCCAATAGGAATGGAAGAAAAAACGTCACTTGTAAAGACTACCAGTAAGTAGAATTCTAACGGCCTAAGATCGATACTATTCCATGCCATAGATACAAAGGTACTGATTCAGAAGTGAAAAATTATAGACAAGCGGACCATAAAACCAAACTCTGCCACAGGTTGTGATCTCGATCTTCATATCGAGAAAGCAAAGAGAACCTTGAAGGATCAAGACCATGGACGCGAAGTCAATGATATGAATACTAAATTTAGATTTTGGAATATCAATTTGAATGAGATAATCGATAAAAGGAGGAGCATTGGGAAGCATTGAACTCCATTCCTACTATGACATAAAAACTAGTATTACTGGTGATTATTCTATTCCGATATTGGCTGTCGAAACCAAGGTTCTCCTCACCATATCACACTTCTGATTATGCCATTTTCTACCTAAACCATACTCATTCAATCGCAGTATCAAATTTTTACTGCACAACCTACAAATACGTTTTCACTTCACGTCGGTCATACACACTGATCAACTGTAGCCATGATAACGATCCTATAAGCGCCGATGTATATCACGAGCAATTACTCCGCGAAGGCCTAGTGTTTTACTCCTAATAAGTTAATAAAGGTTTTCGAATGAATTTGCGCCTCTGATCGTTGCAATACACCCTCTATACTCGAACACTAATCAAATCATGAGTTATTGCATAGAAATCAAGTGACTCTATGACTATAAATGAAAATTGTTATTCGTACAGTTCTCTTCTTGTCTTACACAGACATAGAATACGAACAAAACCAAAAATAAACAATAACGGAGGCACCAGGGTCTCTCAGTATCGTCTAGTATTGAGTATTCCCACTCTCAGGGAGCCTAAATCATGGCATTCAGCGTGGGAAGTGATCTTTCTCAACATTACTTTCATCGCATGATTCACTTTACTGTCATTCATCGTCTACACCGTCGTTGTCCTCCTCGTAATCACTGTCAGCCCTATCATCACATAGAGTACCAATCCCATCTATCTCCCATGGAAAACTGCAAAAACACATCACACTTCTCACCACGAATGATTTCCAACGAATCGTCAATTTCATTATCCATCTCATCATTTTCGACTCCTCAATACCACCCACCAAATCAAATTCCACTTTTACCATCCTGATATCCTCGCTACCACCCCCTATCCCTCCAGCAATCCTCAAAATCGCAACACGCTCATGTAGCAACGATACTCCGGAAAGTTTGAGTCATAATCCCTAGACTTGTATTCATGCGCTCATGCTGAGGAGTTTACATTTTGTGTTAATGTATGATAGCTATGTCCTTAGTGCGACCATTCTGTGTTTCTAATATTCATCAACTAAAATAACATCGATTGTACCGACTGCAAGAAAAAAGCGCAATTACTCGATATCATTCATCCCTCTCTCTCACTCGATTTGTACACTCTAAGATTTTAAAAGGGTTCGAAGAAGATGAGCAAGCAAACTCAAATTCCGAATTGAGTTTTCGATTGCATCGCTTTCATTTGCGAAACTCTAAGCATCATTCCAAGAGTGTACTACTAGTTGACTCAAATATGGTGTATATCAAAACTATACAGCGACATAGATACTCGCTCCTGATCTCGTCCCACATATCCACATCTCCACATCTCCGCGATAACTCCTTACATCTGTTGTTATATCCGCGAAGAAAAAATAATTAGGGACAGCATCCCTATTACTATCTCCAAAACAGAAACTTGCGTTCGCCGGGAATCGAACCCGGGGCCCATCGAAGTTGTTTCATCCTTGCCTTGTAGCAGAGAAGATGGATGGCAACGATGGATTTTACCACTAAACCACAAACGCTTACTGGTTTTATACAACTAGCGTACAAATTTGATTGTATATTGCAAAAACAAATGGACTCGAAGGGATCAATCTGCATGGTGAAAAGTACTGGGGAAAGGAGAGCAGAAATTTTTCAAAAAAGTGGGGATGGTGGGGGAACACCCGAGACGGGAGTTCAAATTGACATTCTACCCGAACCTTCCCCATCTATATGCATATGATGTACCTAGCTAAACGCCACTAAATGATAGATAGACCTAAACAAAAAGCTCCCCGCGTCCAGCGCGGAAACTAAATCAATCAACGACCAGACTAACAAACCCAAGTGCAAGCCTCTCAACTCCAACTCCAACTCCATTCTCACAGTCCCTTTTCCCACCCTCCCTTCCCCCTTCCTTCGCATCCCAGAAACCCAAGCAAGCAAACAAGTAACCAATCACCAGTCCAAAAATCTAGTTGCCCAAAAAGCTTCTATGAGCTTCTCAACCGTTTCTTTAAAGACTATCAGGATCCGACAATCCGTAAAGCTACTTGGAACCACCTGCTTTTGCTGGACCTCTACTTGCCTTCTTTCTGTCTTGAGTTCTCTCCTTGCTAGTTTCTCTTCTGCTAGAATCACCACCTCCAGTTCCGCGGCGTTTCAGTTGTGGCGAGGGCTCTGATTGTGGACTGTCCGAGTCGTTCTCAATCGGCAATGTTGTTTTCCTAACAAGCCTCTTGGCTGATGCACCTCCAGCTGATGTCTTTTTCGCTGGTGTCGGTTCTGCTGCTTTAGAAGAACCTGCCTTCGTTGGAGCAGCTCTCGCCTTAGACTTGGTTCTCTCGCCAGATGATGCTATTAATTGCTGATCTAAATCAGACATATTAAACATTTTTTCCGAATCACTAGGAAATGTATAATTTCCATCATCACTAGGTGACTTGTCTTCACGCCCAGACTCTTTTTCACTTGGAGGATTTCGTCCAGTTCTACCACCGAAACTTGGGGGAGTCTCTAATGTAGGTTTACGGCCGAACTTGTCAGCGTTACTGGCTGACCCAGCAGTTGAGGATCCATTTTCTCCCGTTTTCTTTGTTTTAGGTGCTGCAAGACGCTGTTTAGTTGGTACAGTCATTGGACTAGACTTTTCCTTCTCTCCTCCAAGTCCAGTTAATGATGTTCCATGGGAGGCCATTTTTTAATTGATAGCTTCTATATGCTTGTATTGATGGTAGGACTGTACTGGAACGTTGTTCTTATAGGATTGGATGATGTATTTGCTGATGATGTATGTATTGTATATTTCGTTAGTACTTTGGGAGCTTTATATACCTACTAAGATGTTGGCCGATCCAAAAATAGTGACATCTTTGGACCTCTGGAATTCCGCACTTGGCCACCTCTCGACTGGCACCACGTCGATGTATTGGTCATTGCTATGGTTGAGAGAAAAATCACTTATTGACCCAGCGCCATGAAGCTGGCCGGTGATTTCCCAACACATGACTAAAGCTTGGCCGGCATGGACCAAAGATCAGTGCTCGCAACGGGTGGGCCGAGTGATGCGGTTGGATGTAGACTGCGTAACAGGCATGTGAAGGGCAGATTATTAGTCTTGTAGATAATGTGCAGATTAGCTGCTTACAAAGTAGGGGTTTGAAAATCCAAATAGATAATTTGTAGGTAGTTCTAGAACTTATTATTAATTAAGCTTAGGTGTATAGAGTCTATCTTTAATTTAAACCCAAGATTATATTCAATTTATACTAGAATCAATACAACATTATCGCGGAGCAAATAATGGATTTTGCAGGCAACCTATAGAGTAAGTAGAGTGTTCAACGAATTACTTGCAAGAACAGACTACCTGTAAATCACCTACGAGTGTAAATTGTTTTTGTGCAGCATAGTTGGATTAGTTAATTCGATCCAATCCTGGGTCCATAGGTTGGGTCATAAGTGACCCAATAGACTCTTTTGGACTAACCATTTGGGTTGGGTTGAGTAAAAGTACGGAACCCACCCACTGCGAGCACTACTAAAGACTCCACCCAATGAAGGAAGAATAGCATGTGTCCTCTGGAGCTATGATAAATTTAGTTTCGAGAGGCCCAAATTATGAGGCCGTTCATGTATCTAAAAATAAAAGTGCTGCGTGATCTATAAAAGGGTCGCGGAAGTTAGTCGTGAGAAAATTCTTCTTTGGACCTGTAGGGGAACAAATTACTTACGTGGATCGATTCCAACCCGCTGTATATCAATTCGGAACACTTTGTCTATATAAATGATCTGAAATGTGTCAGGCAATAAGTGTACATGCTCGTAGTGGTCTACAACTTAAACAATTCATACTGAGGGTAGGGAGCTGTCATGAAGAACCTACCAACAAGCAGAGAGCAAAAGGCTCAGGAAAAAATTACATCATAACAAATGAATGGCAGAGAAAGATCCAGGCATTCTAGAGTTGAATGAGAGACATTGAGTAGCACATTCCTAGAACGCTAGTCCCAGAGAATGTCCAATCTTTAGCGCCCCGATTGTGTGGCTACACTAGTTGCAGTTGGTGATGATGATTCTACAGAGACTACTGCAGATGAAGAAATGCTACTGCCAGTACCGTTCCCACAAATTCAGCTAGCGAAGTCGATTCGTGATTGAAATTGTACTTCCACCCACTTGGAACAATATCTCACAAGTGTATATTGAATTACTCGGGCAACACTCTCCACCAGCACGAGAGCTTCAGAAGAAGTAAGTTCCTCCTACATTCTCATACGCAGCATCACCATCTGCAGTGCATGCATGCCTCTTGAATACCCTTGAGATACATATCTACAGAGTCGAAGCAAATTCTTGTACAAGTGTTCTCAAAATTTGCAGAGGTAGGTTTGAAAGGAGATCGCTCAGAAGCAACCAATCCTGATAGTGCATCATCGCAATCGATTTCAGCACTGTAAGCAGCTATACAGGCTTGAGAAGTGGTGTTTGCAAGATCTTTAGCAACGTAGTCCCAATCTGGAGCAGAAGTATTGAAGTTGAAGGATGCGTTGGTAATTTCGAAAAAATGTTGGAAGGAAGATAAAATTAGAAAGTGGAGTGTATTTCATCGTGATGTTCATGGCTGTTGGTTATTGTGGGGTAAGAAAGCTTGTATATTAAGGTTTTTAATTATAGACTTGTAATTCAACGGAAATATAATGAAGAAGACTAATAATTTTATGAAGAACGTAGAAAGATGCCGCTGTAAACCAATGATTAATAAAAGTGGAAAAGAAGAAACAAATCTTTGATCAAGCTTTTTAAAGGAGAAAAAAATTCAATTGAAGATATATTCAAAAGTCTTGGCATGCTGTGTCGCACAAAAAATAGTCCCCGAGCAAGATGACTGCCAGTTAATTAGCACCAAAGTATACAAGCGCTTTGAAACCCCTGGTATTATTAACTTAAACCATATCTGGCATAATATTAAAGGAAAGATCAAGTCAATCATCTGTCAAGCACAGCGAGCAAAATGGGGTTTGGGGGCTTGCCCCCGTAATAAGAGAGGTAAAAAAATTGTGACGCTCCGTTGGCTCTCCGAGGGCCACTACCGTGGAGGCAGAGTATATGAGATATGGCTAGCATAAAGAAATCTGATAACCCCCGAATAACCACACACATCTCCTCTCCAAAAATCATCACCACAGATTCACCACTCCTCCCCTCAGAACTCCCACTTCCATCAATGCGATGTACCAAATAAAAGCTTCAGCAACAGCAACAGCATAACCTCTTCCGACACATCTCTAACAACTTGCACCTCACCCTTTAGAGACGCTCAAACTCAAATAAGCAAGTGAGCAAGTAGCTTATCAAGAAAGTCGACCACTCCAGAAGCATGGATAGATTCTGCATCCTCGTCTTCCCTCTCATGAAAAGTAAGAGAAATTTCTGAAGAACTAGGTCCTTTAACCCAATATCTATATGCTCAAGAATATGCTACTGTTCAGATCAGATATTGTCGATCCCGATATTACAATCGCCATGACCATTATAACGACACCCTTGTATATACCTCTGGAAATGACGAATCCCATTTCCTAAACATCTCGATTACATAGCTTTGGCCTTCTGAGCTATAGCTTCCCTTCTCAATCTCAATCTCCAGCGCCTCCGTTCCTGCCTTCGCTGTGCTACAAATTTTTTTCTATCCTCTTTCGAAACCCGCCAGATCCAAGGCCCCACCAAGTTTACAACCTCAATTACCTCTTTCTGCCTCTTCTCCATTTCCTCATAACCCATTTCTGTTTCTGCAAACGGTTTCGCGAGTGAGTATGTCGATTTCGTTCGAGATTCTTCGACTCGGAATCGAGGATATGGCATGAATAGCTTCAAGCGAGCGATCTTGGCACGGCAATAAGGGCATCCATTAGGAGGAGCTCCTTCTTCGCTTTGAGTCCATCGAATAATGCATGCTAAGCAGGTATGTCTATGACCGCAGGGCATAGTGGCCACGGGCATATAATTAGGTCCGCAACAAACAACGCATTCATCAGGCTTCTGTGGCAATGGTTATCCTGGTTAGCATCTGCATTGTGATTGAATTATGCATTTCAATAAGAGATTGAAATTTGCATGTGATTACTTACCGATAGCCGTGGTATTTCATCAAGTAGTGGTAGACTTTTCAAGGGTGCCCCCCCTTCATATTCTGGGTGCAGGAGTCTCGAGTAGTGTGGGGTATGGTGGTCAAGTTGACATATTGGGCAACATGAGGTAGCATGGATTTCCTGGCCTATCAGAGACAAATCCGTCCCAAAGATTTTCAGACATGCATGACTTAAAGAATCAGTCTTCTCACGCAGTCTTCCAATCACTTCGAAAAAATATCCGCCGGGTTGACCTTCAAATATGGGACTGCGTGCAGACAATTGCATTTGCTTTGACAAAGTGTAAGCTTTCTTTCCTAGTACTGTAAGTCGAATGTCACTACGCAGCGGGTAAGAGTTCACTACTTACGCAAATCGCGCTAATACAGAGGCAGAACATTTCGCGCACGGCTTTAACCAGCGCAGGATCTGGATACCAAATTTGTACACCCAAGACCGAGGTGCACCGAGATAACAATTGTTCAAACCGTTCACGCTGGGACTGGGAAACGTTGTACGACAACAAATTGAGTCTTCTGACATGCGTTAGCTTTCTATACCCAAGTGCATTCATAAAGGGGGTCCCGGAGGGACTCAAGAGCGACTTGGGTGTCTTCTTTTGAAAACGTGTTAGCAGAGGAAACTTATTGGTCGGAACATCATCGTATCATGAATTATACTTACTAGATAAGGCCTCGCATCCAGTTCTTTAGATTGGTAAAAGAATTGGAGTTCAGATGATAATCTGAGAAAGGGGGTAAGGATGATCGGTTTCGACTGTGGACTCGAGATGGAATAATTTGTCTCGTAGGCAGGGAGCTCGAACGGGGTATCGACGAATGCGGAAGCCATCATGAAGTAAATGAAGGGTATTTAAAAACAATAATGTGGTAAACAAATGTTATAAAGTGCTAGATTAAAGTACGAAGAACGATTTTATCAAGAGGACAATAAAAGAATATGGGGAAGAAACAAATTCAAAAAATCAGTGTTGGTGATGATGAATGACGTTTAACGGTCTAGAGTGAAAACTCCCACTAACCTTGACCATAAATGGATCTAACAAATTCTGAAATCTGACATTACCTAGGTAGGCTCATCAAGAGCTACCTAGTATGAAATGGCAACTAGGAACAAATCAAACACAAACCATCCAATTCGATTGAGCAGATTAGAGATATCAGAAGCAGTGAGTATATATAGCTTTGTTGGAGCAAAGCAAAACAAGGACTTCTAAGTCAAGTAGTATGATGCGAGCAATGGATAAGTAACTTACTTCGCATCTTTCTTCACATTTGCAGATTGAAGTGACAAAGCATTTTGACCAGTCGAACTCTTCAGGAAATTTCTTCGATACCTTAACTCGTGTGGAGGTATGGATATGGATGTCAGATGATCTTGCGGTGAGTAGGCATGCCTCCCTATGACTCTCATCTCTCTCAAATTCTCACTCACTGTCTATGAAGCCTAAAACATCTGCAATGACAAAGATTAGGGAAATAATAGCTACAAGAAGTAGCTTCATAGAGTCACTACTAGTGAGATGAAGTCTGCACTCCGACAAACCCGCGAGAACTAATACTCATGGGAAGTATATAGCTAATACCTCAAAGGATTATCTACAAACCGAGGAACTTACTAAGGAACAGGATCTCCCATAGAAGTATATTGAAAGAATCGAAGGCGAGAACCCCACCAGCTCCTCTAGTTTGGCCGAGAAGGTACTCACCAAATCACATAACAATACCTAAATAAAGCCTACTGCCACGACTCGAAAAAGACAAACGTTCCAGCAATATCCCTTGTATATTCATGACAGAGATTCGAAGTACACAGCAGATAATGGAGTATCGATAGCAGTCGGAATCTGCAACCTCGAGGACAAGTAGAAAAAGCCCACCTCGGAGGTATTGGCAGTTAACGTTGTAATTATTGCTGATGGTGCGGCCAGTTTTGGAAGGGGTGATCGATAAATCGCCTTTGAACGTTTGAACATATACGCCGATATCTCACTTCGAACCCTTCTTGGGATTTCCCTTATATTCAAAGTACCAATGGACAGGACGCCATCTGCGGCCGTCGTTCGCGCACAGCAAAGCCTAGGAACAAGGCAGAGATAAGACATCGCGGATTCAATTTCTTCTGACAGAAGGGCAGGCCACCGTGAAGGATAAATAGTTGAAGACGCTCGACTTTATATATGTTTGGGAACATCGGGTTCTTCGGCGGCTTCAAAGTCGACGATCTCGATACTCTTGACGTGTAAAGCTTGCTTGAGATCGGACAGAGCTGAATG